AGATTTATTAATACAATAAAAACTAACATAGGAAAGCTTTCCGAATTAAAATTAACAATTTGTTGGCGTAGATATAGTTATTTTTAAACTTTGATTGCTCAAAATAATTCTAAACTTAAATTTAAAGAATGCGAATGGAAAGCTCCCGAAGCTAGTTTCCTTTTTCGTTTTAATTATTTTTTAAAAAAGTAAAACATCAAAAGTTTAGCATTTACTTTAAAATCTTAAGCAATTTATTAAAGTCCTTTTAAAAGTTCTTTAAAAATACTAGAAAATATTTAAATTTTCTAAAAGAAATCCGAAGTATTGGTTTGGGCCTCGAAAAAAAACCATTGCATCCTATTGGAATTCTTCTTTTATTAATTTATAATTCATAGTGATTTTTATGGATCTTGAAACTTTCTATTTTTAAAGTACTATTATGCCCAGATTATATTGATCTTAGTTACATAAAAATCATGGAATTTGTATTTTCATTTTAGTTACCTTTCCCCGCATATACCCCATAAAATCTAGGTCTATACTCTCTACCAAAATCCGGTCTAAAGGGATAAGCAAAAAAAGAAAGAAAAAGTGGTGGAAACATTTTGCACAACCATTAAATGTTTTGGCTTTGATAAACTTTGATAGAAGTTCGATTCTGCGGCGGCTATCGCAATACATATACATTTACGAAGGCAAATTTTCGCGACATAACTCAATTGAAATGGCAACTTACTTGCTTCCGATTGCCTTTTAAATGGGAAATATTTCGGTTCACAAACAAATAAAAAATATAATAAGAATGGAAAACAAAAAAATAAAAACGAAAACAACTTTAGAAAGATTTAACAAAGACAAAGTGTTTTAATAAATGAAGATTAAGGGTTGCTGTAGATTAAAGCAATTTCACCCTGGCGAAATGTTTTATATCTGGCATTTAACGGCCTTTGATAATATGCACTTAATACTGGCGTAATCCCCGAACATTGCCCCTGTTTTGTGCGAGGCATTTAATATCCTTGTAATAATTTATGTACAACTTCAAACTCTTATTTGTCTTGCTCTAACACACACACTCTTCGCACTCGCTCTCGGTGGACATAATTAACTCAATTTAATCACTTTGCCAAGCTCGCAGCTTTAGTGCGCCACTTTATGTGTTTTAGTGGGGATTTTTGGTGTTTTTTTTCTCGAGCGCTTATGTTATATTTATTTTTTTTGTTCTGGTTTGGGTCTGGTTTTTCCTCATCCTGGTGGCGATGGCGACCTTCTGGCATTGACCACTTTGGAGTGGGCTCTCCGCGGGGGAGATTTCGGACCGATCTCACATATATTCGCCCAAAACGCGAACGGCAGCTGCGCTTTGCCCTTTTCATGTTAATTTCCCAGCACACAAAACCAAATGGCTTTATATTTTTTCTCACCCCTCTCTCAGCCTCTGTGTGTTGTGCTCACTGCATATGTTGTGTGTCCAAGTGTGTGTAGCTGTGTGTGTATGGGGGGTAGCAATTTTTCATCATTAATTATGGCGTCGCTGGGGCGGGTGTGAGTGTGCGGATGTGTGTGTGGCAAACATCAGTCAGTTACAGGAGGCAAAAGACCATTAGGACATCCCAGGCATGGTCCAAAAGCTGGTTGAGATGTCACTCACACACAGTGCAGTGGGAAATATTAAAAGGGTTTTTTTTTATATATTCTTTTATAATAATTTATTATTGAAATATTTAATTAAATTAGGTAAAGTTTTGTTAGAGTAAGCAAAAGCATTGACATATATAATTTACAAGAAAAGGAAACTATCTTTGAGCTTATTTATCTTTAAGCAAATCATTTCCAAACATACAACAAATGTTTACTAACAGAAAATCAGAATAAAAGTATATTCAACCCAGGAAAAGAATACTAGAATTATGTTTTACTTAGTCAATTGTTCTATGAATTATACTCACAATTTCTTGCCGTGCACACACACTCGGATGCTGTCAACTCGTGTGTGGCAGCTCCAGTTTTTCCCCCTCCTCCTCATACCCGACATTTTCCCCCCATTTCCACTTTTACCCACCATTGTTACTGTTGATTATTTCATGCGCTTTCTCCGCCCGCGCATTTTTATGCGCATTTTATGTTTGTATTTGTATGAAAAGAAAAACTCAGCCTCCGCCGAGAGCCTTCACTCACTTGCCCCGAAAACAACACAACAAAAAATATATACATATATATATATATGTATGTGAGGGGAGAATAAAAGGAAGAATATTTTTATGATCCCCACAGACTCCCCTAATCACTCACTCCCTTGTAATTGCTTTGCGCACCGCACTTTTACATAATAATAATAAAATGAATTATAAAATAAAGTCACCTTTCTGCACGGAGGCTCGAGACATTTTGTTAGCCAGCAGCTGCCGCAGAATTTAATGTGGCAACGACACTCAAAAATTGACATTAGCAGCAGGCATACGACGAAAACCATAAAAACATAACAAATGGCCGGCCATAATGTGTGTCCTTAAACTGTCACTAAATCGATAAATTTTCATAATGGCCAGGCCATTTAAATATTTAGCTGAAATGTTTCTTTGGGGGGGGGAGAAACCCCTTTTTTGGGGCTCGCTCTTCGCCAAAGCCTTGTTCTTGTTCTTGTTCTTGTCTGGATTAATAAAATTACCCACGACCCCCAATGCACAGATAGCGCTTAAAGGGGGGTCTTGGGGTTGGGTTGAAAAATGTGGGGTTGGGGGAGGGGGTGCTTTACATCAACGCAAGGGCACGCACACACACAACTCGAGGTGGACTCGACATCGTTGACGGGGCGGCGACATAGTCGTCTTAAATGTCTCCATGCCAGGCTTGAGTAGCCTCAGCGAGCTAGAGCAAAAAATAACGAATAAAAAATATGTAGACGGAGAGAAATAATAGCTTTCTTTGAAGAAAATTAAATTTATTAGGCATCAGGTGAAATTAAAAGTTACCTTTTCTAATACATTCTGACATAAAAAGTTAAACGCTGAAAAGTATGCTTTAATTTCGCTTAAAGCAAAGTCCAGGTTGTTCTTTGGTTGCAGCTTCTTTTAAAACCCCTTTTTAGTTAGCTTCACAATTTCTTTTGGCAACTCAATTGCTCATAGATTGAATAGATTAGTAATAGATTTTTCTCTCCGTGTAGAAGTGGGTCGGCGGCAAGAGGTTGCCACTCACGCAGGCCCAGTTAAGTGTGCGTGTTCAAGGATGCATTTTTGTGCCCAGGAAAACGACACGACACAAAAACGAAACGAAACAAAGACAAAGGCATAAAAACGTGCAAAATGGGCGTGGGCGGCGCCTCTGTCTTGCCCTTACCTACCTCTGTTACCCTCCCTACCTTCCTCCCCCCTTTGGAAAAGCAATGCCCCGCTCCCCGTTCTCACACACCCATTTTCCATAGGCTTATAAAGTGCGAGGCGAGCCAAGGCAGGAAGCCACTTGTGAAAGTTTCATGCACGCGGCCCCACTTCACACGACAGCAGTCACCAGTCAGGGACGGCGACGTAAAAAAGGGGGGTTAGAATAAGAAACAAAAAATAAAGAAAAAGAAAAGAGAATAAAAAAGAAACAAGGAGCGAGGCTGTGGTGATCGAATCAAAGATTCCTTTGAAGGAGATTCCAGGAATAAATAAAAATAAACTGGGGAAAAATATTAGGAATAAATTAGTTGAACATTAAATTTGCTAAATTTAGTTTGTTTAATAAATTTACAGAATGCTTTTTTACCTAATTTTAATAAAACAAATATTACTTATTAAATATTTACCTTTTAAATTATACAAAACCGTTCAAATATTAATATAAATATAAAATACAAAGACCAGAAGTGTAAAATGATTATCGAATAATGATTTCTTTAAAGTCTTGTTTAATTGAAGAGAATATTGATTTACTTTACAAATTTAAGATATTTCTTTAAACATTATTTTTTTGTTGTTTTTTTATTTTTTATTTTGAGGGGTATTTTGAGGAACAAAACAATTGAAGAACCGAAAGGGAGAACCGCACAAAGGCGTCGCGTCTTGGTCCGCTTGGAAGTGCTTGTTAGTGCGCTCAGGATTTGACGTTTCGCTGTAGCCAAGGCTTAGAGAGCAGCTCTGGATACCTACCACCTCTACCACCCCCCACATTCGGCCTTCCACCTCTTCATCTTCATCTGCCACACCCCTCCCTCTTGGAGTACTCCACTGTCGTCTTAAGTTGCATTCCCCTCTTGCAATTGTTCGTTCGTTCGTTTCGAGGCGCCTTTGTTTGGTTGTTTCGCAAATTTTTACACGAAAAAGTCATTTGAATATGCGTTTGCTGCTGCTGGCGGCCTACAACTACCGCCTCCTGGAACATTTGCCTTCGCGGATTGAAAGTTTCGTTAGCCGTCAGCTACTTTTACTACTTTTATTCCCTTTCCCAAAAAAATGCCACCTCCTTTTCTCAGTTTTAAGGTTGAGGGCATGGCTTGCGGCTTTTTTTGCGAACAGTGCATCTCTATGCACAAAATAATGTTCACCTCCCGTCTTCAGCCTTGAATGCAACTTGTGTATTAACAATTCCAAGGAAGGGAAACTGAAACGTTAATGGGAATGGGAGATGGGCGATGGGGGGATGCACTGGGGTTAAGGGTTGCCGGAGACACAGAGACAATTGTTTTCTTACTTCCGCTGACTTCAAGAGCAATTCACAGTAGTTTGTCATTCTGTCTGAGGCTCTGAGGTCAGTTGAGGTTGAGGCAATTAAGAGAGATAAAAGCCAAGGGGTTAGGGGTTTGCAGAGGGCCTAAGATTAAGCCCGTACTCCTTTAGGTGCTTCAAAGGAGGTAGTTTTTTCTTTGTTTGATGTGCATATTAAGTGGGGCACGGAGGGAAAAATAGAAAGGTAATTGTAAGGGAATTTGGGATTCTTAAACATATTAAAAAATCATTTCAAAGGCTTCTAGGATTATGTCTTATCATCAACATAGAACTTCTCTAGATCATTTTAGGTTTCCTATAATATCTCTGCTTGTTTTCTAAAAATTTCATTGAGTATTCATTGCTTTTCCGTTCAGCAAACCTAAATTGTAAATTTGTATCCTCAACAACTGCCTTTCTGTTCGTGAAATCAAAAACCAGCAATATAAATTTCATAATTGTAAAGTTTCTTGCATAACAAAAATCCGCCAATATGTCCGATTTCGAGAATCAATCCCAATTTGAAAATCTGTCTGCCAACGACAAGGAGCTGCAGGAATTCCTCATGATCGAGAAGCAGAAGGCCCAAGTCAATGCTCAGATACATGAGTTCAATGAGGTTTGCTGGGAAAAGTGCGTTGGAAAGCCGACCATCAAATTGGATCATGCCACCGAGACTTGCCTCAGCAACTGTGTGGATCGCTTCATTGACACTTCACTGCTGATTACCCAGCGTTTTGCTCAAATGCTCCAAAAGCGAAGCGATTCGGGAAATATGTAGAAAATCTGGGAGACCTAAGAAAGCCTGGAGAGACAGGATAATAGGGAACTAGGAGAGCTTCCTCTATTACTATCACCGATGTCCTGGACAGCTTTCTCCGCATACAAGTTAATGGGTGCGGAAAACCATATCCTGCACCACATTTCCACAAGAGAAACAAACAAAATGAAATGCATTACATATACTACTTATCACAAATGAATTAAATTTCTTCCTGTGTGTGGTTCTAAGGAGCACACCCTCATCCGCTTACTGAAAAATATTTCCATTTATTGCAGCTGAACCTTGCTCAATTTCACGTAATCTTTGCCCTGAATACATTCAGGATTCTATTTACTCTGCCAGGTCCTTTCATTCCCACACCATAGTCATTTGCCTATAAAATGAGCTTTCGGTTACAGTTTTGGCTATTGCCTTCAAAAAGGGGGCGGAATATCATCATCATCATCCTGATCGCTGGACATATGCTGGGTGACTGGTAATATTGTTATCTGCTCCCATTACAGGAACAGGACGACGCACACACACTCGTATATACTCACCAACACCTGGATGAGGTGAACTTTGACCGTTTTGGTAACTCATTTAGTTAGATTATTTACGGTAATCCAAGACGCCAGCCACAAGCCAACCGCCAACTTAACTGCAGACACTCTCCCAGTTAGTTTCCCAGCAATATTCTCAGATATATTTCCCCCAACCCACTTTTCCGTTACTATATCTATATATGCACACAAGTATGAGTATCTACGGGCTAAATACATGCAAGTTGTTTTGCTAAATTGTGCGTAAGCTTGGGTGGGGGAGCGTAGCAAGAGTATCTTTGGGGAAAGTTTCTCAAGCTCCAAGCTCTGCCATGCCAATTCAAATAACACTTTTATTTAGCTTGTGCTCCTTTTTGGCCGTGTTCTCGGTCGGTACGTGTCTGCGGTGTTTGTGTGTGCTGCTTGCTACATGATTGCCACGGCCCCCGTTCTCTCCCCCCCTTTGTTGGCCTGGCTCTCACCTGTCGCAGCTCGGCTCACCCTTTTCAGCGGCCCCAAAAAAAGGTAGAAAGGTGAGTTCTCGAGGTGGCGGCATCCAGCAGCAGCATCATCCTTGGCTGCTGGCAGCTTGTGTGCGTGCGCTCATTAGCATTCTGAAACGGCTTTATAAAATTCAACAAGCAACCCAAGTTGCATGTTCTCTAGGCGGGGGTGGGGGAAGGGTTAAAAGGGGAGGGTGGAGAGTGGGTGTGTGTGGGTGAGCGAGCTGCCTTCACCCACTGCCCAGCCCTGAAAAGCCTCCCCCACCCCCACAACAACATTTTCTTGTCAGAGCGGCTGCATGTCTCTGCTGCGCTGCCCTTGTTGCTGTTTAGTTTTTCCTTCTTTGTCTAAAAATGCACCGGGGTAAAAGTAGTATCTCTGTAGTTAAGAAAATATTCTAGGGTTTCTTAAAACTATAATAAATTATAATAAATTTATTCAAAATCAAACTCTATTAAATGACTTTAGAATGACTTTAGAGCATTAACAGCATAAAACTTTAAAGCAGGTTTCTCGGAAACCTAAACTTGCAACGCTTTCTTTAATAGTTTATAATAATAATTCCATGAAACAGTAAAAACAAATTAAGGAAACCGAATTCTATTATTTTTTATAACTAAACGAAATACTTTCTTTTACAAATTTTCCAACATTTTGTATACATTTTTCAAGAACTTACAAGCATTTTTTGAATACATTTTCCTCTGACTTTCCTTCATCTTTCTCTCCGTGTATTTGTGTGTGTGGGTTTTTTCATTGTTGTTGCCTGCACACACACACACACACACACACATTCTGTTGTTATCCTGAGCACTCTACCCATCTCTATCTTCTGGGTGACGGCCATCTCTGTCTGGCGTGTGGATGCTTGTCTGCCTCGAGTTGCATAAATTGAATCTGAATTTGTGAGTAAATTGCACACAGGAGACACATTATTTTTGAGTTTTGCCTTTTAAATTTGTGGCTTTTCACTTTGAGTTGCCTCCACCCGACAAGCTGGGTGTGGGTTTTGCGATGGAGATGGGTGGAATGGGTGGGTGGCAAATTGCAACAATCTCTGTCCTGAACTTGGTGCCCCTCACTCTGCTCCCCGATTTCGAATGTTGTGCAATTTTGTGTGACCCACTTGAACATTGGATTGGAGTTACGCCTACTGAAGCACTCGGCACCATCATTTTTGCACCCCCTTGAATCACCCCTCTAAATCGCCCATTTAAATCAATATTAATAGGTGCAGGCCTCTTTTTCGCAAATTGCACATTGCACAAATTGTTCGTCTATAAATACGATAAAATGTTTATTTAATATGTACCAGACCGTGCCAGCTGTACAGGAATCCAGGGGAAAGCCAATGCCAATAGCAACAAAAATCGGCTGCCAGGACAGGCAGGGCAGGCTTGAAGGCTTGAAGGCTTGAAGGGTTGAAGGCAGGACAATAACAAGAAACAACAACAAATAATGACTTATCCATGGCACGTAGATAGAACGGCGCGCCGGCCCGGAGAGCAAGGACACGGGGCTAAATCAAAGACACTGGCAATCCTGGGACATCCTTTTCCATATGCAAATTGTTTTTATAAATTTGCAACAAGCAATTGTTGTGCCCAGCATTGTTTGTCGAATAGCAATTTGTGTGTAGGAAAGCGGATACAATATACCCCGAGAATGTCAAAATGGAAAACGGCAGTCAAGTATTGGGTATGGATAACATTTTATAGGGATTATGAGCGGGTCAGTTTGGGGTATTATAGAGTCTCACCTAATCCCCAAAAAAGGATAACAAATTCCCAAAATATTTTCTCTCTTAAATTTATCGAAGGGAAATCCCCTCCCCCCATTTAATTTGTGGCCACATAACGTAATCCTTGTTTATAAATAATTGCTCTTCAGTATGCAATAAAATTTCAATGAAACAATTACTTGTCTGCATTATCTGTTTAACTTTCAATTACAAAATGATTTAACTGACAAGTAGATTGTACGGAAAAGCGCATACAATAAAACTGTATGTCAAAACGGGGCCAACAGGGGGGGTTGAGGAGCCAAGGGGGTGGCCATAACTTGCTATCTGTACAAAAAGGGGTTAATGCAGTGGGAGTGGTTGAACATTACCGAGAATTTCTTGGACACGCATGCATTAAGTTAACTACCTTGATTTTACAGGATCTAAAATCATAACATTTTCACATGCAAGATGAGCTAGCAGTTAAGCACACATGGTCTAGGATAATTGGTAGAATTTCTATCGCTTATGGTCAAGATTAAAAGTTAATTTAAATTAGCAAACATGGAGTTGAGTAGGTCAAGGTATGGTTACATTATTAGAAGAACAAAGAGAGAATGCGATTTTCTAGTAATTGTTAAGTACTTTGGTAATGCTTCAGCTGTTAATTAGCTGCAGCTTTAAAAGTTGTAAGGTCAGGTATTTGTTTAGTTAGTTTAGTTTAGTTAATTTAACCATGATCATATCTAGGTAAGACTACAAAATTACTATATATTATCCAATAATTTATAAGCACTTGGCGAACACTTTGGATCTTAAGGATCTTTAGCCTAGATAGTTAGTGGCTCTGAACTTACTTTCAAGTATATCTTTAATGATATGTATTAAAGCAAACACAGACCATAAATTAGTTGGCATTACTCTATTATTATATATAGATTTTCTGTACCATCTGTAATATCTGTATAATAATATAATTTCTATAAAACGATATAGGAGATAATTATTATATTAAGGGATGTAGGTATTAGTCTGCATTGCTCTTTAAATACCTATACATTTTTCAGTTCCAATTCTTAAATTTCTTTTAATACTACATATAAGCAATATATTATTTTACCATCAGATACTTCTACATTTCATCAGCACACTAATAAAAGCATATAGTATAGTTTTCTTTTTCATGTTTCAAAGTTTTCTGTTTTGATATAATAAAAACTGTAATAGTTAAACTTTGTCTTACAAGTTCATTGATTTTTATGCTTTCCTAACAGATGTTTTCTTATTTAAAACTATATTAGATATCTTTCCTTTTAGAAATTTTAAACTTCTTTGAACAAGCATTCAATTTCCTTAAGAAATACAACCAGCAAGGCCGTGTGGGATACCTGAAGATATATGAAGTCAAGAATACCTGGAGGGGCTGTTGTTTAGCTTCTAGCTTTTCCATTCATTGACCATTCGGAACCATGTACACCATGTTTGACTGGGTTTCCATTCCAATTCCGATTCCTATTCCGATTCCGATTCCTGAACGGCACGACGACCTTGCGTTGCCAGGAGGTGGAATCAGAGCCGTAACAATTGCCACAATTGCAATAGAATCGTCGTTAATTACTGGCTGTGCTTGCGGTTCTTGCTGGTCTCGGATTGAGCGGGGGTTAAGTGGGTGGTGCAGATGGGGTGGTGGGTGGTTGGGTGGCTGGGTGGTTAGGTGGTTAACTGGTTGCCAGGTTGGGTGGGAGCTTTGTTGGTGGGCTTAAAAGAGCAAGACAAATACGAGCATGTGTCTGGGGCTGAAAGAAGAAGTTGCGCAGCATCGTTAAGCGTTGCTGCCAAGTGGCAAAACTCAAATAAACATAAACGTGCACACACACACACACTAAGGCATTGAGGGGTGTGGCCAAAAGGGGGGGCTGACAGCCGCAGCCAAAATCTCTGAGCTGGTTTGTTGTCTTTGGCTGTGCTGTGAGTCTGCCTTCATCTCTCCTTTGCTTTCCTTTCCTTTCGTTTCGTTGGGAGACTCATTAAAATGCAGTGCGAGATAATAAGCATTTTAATTAAATATTTAACAAGAATAAGTTTATCACAACACGAACACGACAGCGCGAAAGAAAGAGACGGGGCCCCGAATGTAATGGCTTGTAAGCGTCTGCCGTTAGCGGCTTCGAACAGTTCGGAAAAGGGGCATTTTGCGAATGGGGTTAGGCAGGACTACCATATACCCTACACCCTACACCCTATACATACTATATACACTCCTTCCTCTCTCTCACTCTCTGTCTTTTTCTGGCAATATTTTGATGTAATTTGAGCGCCTAATTGGCGCACGTGCTAAACTGACGATGGCAGGTTCAACTTTTGGTCTGGGCTTGCTTCCCTTGGTTTCCCTGTCCTTGCTGGGGTTCAGGTTCAGTTACTTGGCTCCTTTGCTTGTGCAAATATTTGCAGAACTTCTCGCTAACCGTCTCCTGTTTACATCTCCTTCCAAATCTACTTGCAGAGGCTTCGGCTTTGTCACATTCAGCGATCCAAATAGCGTAGATAAGGTACTCACCCAAGGCACACACGAGCTGGATGGCAAAAAGGTAAATGTTACCCCGAAACGAAACTTTTTCTCCCTCCCCTCCCCATCCCTTTATCTCTTCCTTCACAATTTTCATTTTTTGGTATTTTTTTTTTCATTTTGCAAACAGAAAACTCCACTTTAACTATGCAAAATATTTGCCCAAAAAAGCAGCGCCTCCGTGAAATTCATACACCGCTTCCCTCTATTGACAGCAATTAGAAAGTCAAAGCATAACAGGTCCTGGCTAAAAAAAAGGCTTGATAAAAAAAGAACTTGGCCAAAAAACCGGGCCCTAAAAGTCAAACAGTTTTTAATTACCTGATGTGACAGGACTGCCGAACATCAAATGAGCTGCAATGTATAATTTTTTGCATGTCCTCCGAGCACTTGATGAAATTTTTGGTAGTTAGAAATTTCATTAAAGGTGGAATATTCTGTTTTTACAAAAAAGTATTATGTAGGTAACCCTTTGAAAAGGAAAAGGAATACCAGCAATAAAAATAGGAATCAATGTTTTCCACTTTTATAAATACAAACAATTATGATGATCCTTTTTATGAAGGGGGAGTTTTCTTTTTAATTTAATTATCAATATTCTAAATTAAATCTTTATAGTAAAACGAAAATTACAATTTTAATGGGGCTATAATACTGTAAATAAAGTAAAGTTTGACCATGATTTGCCAAACAATGACCCGAGTCACTATAAAAACATAAATGCGACTATGTGGTATCATTATTTATATAAATTCACTATTTTGCTTTATTTGAATACTTTTTAACTTATTTAAAAAACTGAATATCTTCAGTAGTTGTAGAGCCAAAATTTGTATAATCTCAAATAAGTCAAAGAACATAAATTACATTTTATAATAATCAATTTCTGAATCTCTTCTTGATTGTGTTAATTTCCTACCAAGATTTCGCTCAGGAAATAGGCACATTTTTATCCGTTTAATTAATCAACTCCATAAGAGCTCTATCCAACTGTATAAATACATTTCCGAAAGTGCTTTCCTTCCGCATTTTCTATATATATATATATATAAAGTATATTTGTAGGTGGAAATCGCATTTGATTAGCTGGCGCCAACTACAGTGGAAACTCTGTAATGCTATTCCGCATGCATTACGCATACGCCGCATTGGCATTAGCCTAATTGAGTGGAGCTTCGCTGTTTGGCTTCTTCCGCTTTGTCCGTCTGCCCCGATTGTCCTTTGGTCCGATGTCCATCCGATCATCCTTTTATGCCCGCCAACTGTAAATAAAATGCGCAGCCAGCATTTATGTGTAATTTTTTGTGCCGCTGCCTCCAACAATTTTGTTTGTTTCGCAAACTGCATTTATATACATGTAATGTTTATATCTATATATGTGGCAGGAACAAATATATATACAAGACACTGGTCAAAAAAGAGAGTACTTTTAGGTTGATTGGAAAATAAGAAAAGCAAAAGAGTAGTTAAGTCATTTACAAATTTATTTTTTAGATTGGAAAAGTCCTTCCGTAACTTGTATATCTATTCGTTTTTATTGAAATTGCAATTATAGAAAATGATTTGTTTTTTCTATAATAACAACTGAAAGTTTACTTAATAATTTATAATTTAGATTTAGATTCCATTAGAATCATTATTTTTTCACTGCATACTTTTTCGTCTTTGCTGACTTTCCGCTGGTCATGGATTTTCGTGTTTCCGTTTGGCTGCACAGCCACGAAAAACGAAACGAAACCGTATGAAACGAATTCATTTCATTTCGTTACGGTTTTTCGGCCTGATGTATTTCAAAAAGGGCCAAAAGCATCGACAACATCCTCCGAAAATGTTTCGGCACTCAGCGCTGATTAGTTTTAATTTTAATCTAAAAATCAATTTCCCGCCATGCGGCTGCCCTTGTTTTTCGTCCTGCAAACAGGAAATCAACACGGCAAGCGGCGAACGGTGAACGGTGAACGGCAAGCCGCATGTCCTGCCTATCCTGTGACAGATTTTCCACACCACACCGCACAGCATAACATAGCAGTGTGTGTGTGTGTGTGCGAATTATTATCGCCAAAGGATATTGCGTTGCTTCCTTGAGCCCCACTTTGCAGTGTCTGCTCCTTCATTGGCTTGAGATAGCCAAGGATAAATGCAACAGCAGCACTTCCACTTCAGCTTTAGCCAGGATTTAGTGCCACCCTTGTCGAGAGCGCGGTTCCTGATTTTTTATATATTTCAGCTGTCAAGCCGAGCTGTCTCCCTGCACTAATAATATGAAAGCCGCAGCCGCAGATGGAGAAGGGAAAGAGAAAGCTGAAAAGATAGACCAGGCAACAGCAACAGAAAAAAATGCTTAAAATTGAATTTTTATGATTTTTAATTATTTTTAATGACGCTGCTTATTGGGCAGAGAAGCTGTTCGCTTTTTTTTCTCCTCCTCCTTGCGCTCCTTACGCCCGCTGGCCGAGCAATTTGTTACGCGTTAATTCGTGCGTGCTCAGCTTGAAGTCACCCACTAGCACAGACACCATCCCCAAGGTCACCCACCCAGAACACCCAGAATAACCCAACCCAGCCCAAACCCTCCTCCTCTTGGGGCAATTTCATTTAATGTGCAGTGCAGGCTTATGCAAGATTTATGCCCGGCTATTAATATGAAGAGTTGTGCGAAATGTTCTTTTCATTTAAATGTCATTAAGCATACGATTTCTTTTCGGAATCCCCATCGACGCGCTCTATAATTCTCCATTTCTCTCTCTTTTTCCTTCTTTTTCCTGCAGGTCGATCCGAAAGTAGCTTTTCCGCGCCGTGCACATCCCAAGGTAAGTACGCAGGGAGAAAAGCCCGAAAATTCTATATATTTTCAATATATATATATATACAAAATATACAAACAAAATCTGCAAGACAAAACAAAAAAGTAAGCAATGGAACAGATTTTGACAACGAAAAGTTTAATACCCTTGCACATTAAGGAAAATATTTAAATTATTCGTTGAAAAAGTCTGAAATTTTGGATTCTTTATAAAAAAAATATTAAAGATATTATAAATCAAAGATTTAGTATAATTATAATGGGGCTATGACACTGTATTATTAAACAATGAACTCCGTACCCAAAAACCTTGTCAAGCAAATAGCATCCTATTCTATATTCTTATAAAACTTTCAAGTAATGCCTTAAAATTTGCATTTCTTTAATAAGTAGCTTAAGATTATATTAAATTTTGAGATGGCTTTTGCACTGCAATATTAATTAAGTGTTAAAATTAACTTTTTTCCTAAAAGTTTAAGCAAACAACATACCTCTTTGCGTTCTAAGAAAATCCTCATAACCCGAACTTCATTACAATTTAAAAGAAACAAAGAAAACAAATAGCTACACTTTGCAAACAATTATACTAACTATTAAAATAATTTCTGCAATTGAACTTTTCTGTGATACAACAAACTTCTTCACAGAATCTAATTACCACAAATACAAGAGTATGCAAAACTCCGAAAAAGACCATCTACAGTATTACCAAAAAAAGATAGCAAAAAAAGCCGAAATAATATTACCCATTTTTGGGGAGGACTTTGGGTGTGTTGTGTGGTGCGAGGTGTCCTTGCAAAAGGATGTGTCATAAGTAGCAGTAAATGGCAGATGAAATTAAAAACGGAAGATGACAACAACAACCACCGGAGGTTGGTTTGGGGCTGCCAAGACGAAGCGAAGATAACTTTGTGTCTGACAGGCGTCGCTTGCTTTGGCATTCTACATGTAGCCACCCAACCACCCAACCACCCATCTACCCCACCCAACTACCCCACCCTACCCACATAACCACCTTAAACCACCGCTCTTAAAGTGATGATGACAACAAAATTTCGGCAAAAAAGGTGAGGGTGGAGGGGAAAACTGATGTGAACTGCTGCTGTCTGCAGCCATCGTGAGCCACACGCACATTTTGTTGTTAGACAGCGCGTTACAAATGTGCCTCTGTTTTCGGGTTTTTTTTTTCTCTCCCTCTGTTTGTCCCCCTTTTTATGGTGATATATACCCTTTATTTTGGGGGAAAAGATCCATTGAATTATTTAAAAGTTTTATGCATAAATAAGTGGTTAATAAATGATTACTTTATACCTTAAACTGGTTAAAGGGATTTACAAGCTTTAAAATATTGTTAGAGGTTGGGAATAAGTATTATTGGGGTTTCTTTAACTACAAATTTATAAAGAAAAGTACCTTAAAAAATACAACCTTTATATATAAAGTGGAACGAATTAGATAAATTCTTAACATAAATCCATAGTTTTTCATAGTTTTAAATTAGGACTTCTTAAAGGAATGCAACGTTCTTGTATTACCGTCATTTCTTTCCTTTATTTTTATAGTTTCTCCGATGTATCAAGTTTATATAGAATATTATATAGCTCTATTCTTACCAAAGCTTTAATATTCCTTTATTTTCTCTTTAACTTTCCCATTTAAAATGTATTTCCAACTTCGATGTGTTTGACTTTTTCCTGAATTCAACTGAACAGTCAACCGCAAAAGCATACCAAAAATACGCACGCAAATGGCACCCAAAAACCCCTACACACACACATACAAATATATATATATATAAGACAAGGAAACTGAGACGAGTCCTGCCCCTCGATCCTTTGCAATAGAACTGCTGGCAAACTCTCCTTGGAGCTATATATGCGTGCTTATCAACACGCAGCTGATTTCCGTTGCTATTCCAGAGGCGCGTGCCTCCCAAACACGCCCCTGCCCCCACGGAAGTGAGCCTTGGAGCCACCCTGGCAGCCCGAGCAGCAGCCAACAATTATTTACGTAATGTTATTATTATAATATTTTTTAAACGCATTCTCACTGGATTTGCGCGGCGTTACCAAGAAGTAGAAAGCCGCAAAAGAAGGAGTCAGTGTTGGCAATTTGTACGTTTTTTATTTGGGGAAATGAAGGAAGTCGATAGTTCGAAGTTTTGTTAGGATTAAAAAATATCTAAGGTAATGACTTTAATTAAGGGAATTATTTATTTTTAAAATGTTTTCAGTGTATTTCAAGTACATTAAAAGTGTTCTAATAAAATTTGTTATTTTCTTTTCTTACGAATCCAATTTAAACAGTTTAATATACTTATCAATCAAACTTAGTAAAAATTATTCTTATTAATAAATAAGCATAAGCTTACAAAATAATTAAATAACGTTATTAATTAGTCATCAGTTTTTCTCTCTAATTTTCTCTAATTTTTCCCTTGTGTTACAAGTGTGTTCCTTTTTTTAAGCGGACTTCTTGGCATCACTGCAAGGACCCCAAAAAGTCGGGTTTGGGGGGACTTGGCTTAAGGACCAAAAGAAGGCAAAGGAAAATGGGGGCCGACAAGGACTGCCAGGAGGAAGGGGCGTGGCTAGGACGCTGGCTATGCGGCATTTTGCGAGTGGCTTTGTGTTTTGCCGGGGATCTCTGCAGCTACGCGCGAATATCCTCTCGCATATTAAAAGGCGTTTAAAAACATAAATCCAACGTCTAACGGCTGCTTATGAAAATTACGAGGAAAAAATGACTGACAGAGCGGGACAGCAAATGGGGTATAGAGCGAGATGGCGGCAGGCTTAGCACGAGGCAAATGGCAGGGACACCCAAAGGAGTTTTCCTACAAAAAAAAAGATATCTTTAGCAAAAAAAATTTGCAGGCGACATCAAAAGCAACAAAAAAAAAAAAAAACAGAGAAAGAGAAAAGTAGTAGAGGAGGAGAAAGAATGATAGGGAGGACAATTTCTCGCACCGTTTGCCAGGACCAAAAACGAAGGACCTGGCTCACAAGGAAGGATTGCCCACAAAATGCGGCCCAAAATGCTTGCGGTTGCAGCGAAAGTTAAGAGTTTTAAAAAAGAGCGTAGACGTAGGCAGTTAGGCGAGGGGTTTTCCAAGGGGAGGGGTTTTTCCCCCTATTTCTGGATGGAGTTTTTCCCGGGGATTTTCAAGCGGGGGGAAAAACGGGAAGATACATAATGAAATGAAGCATACTAAATGACGCTGCTAAGTTTTCGCTGGGACACAAATACAGGCAGGGCAAAAGGCACTTGGAAAAATTAGTAAATATATATTAAGATTACATTTTGAGAGTCACATTTAGTATAGGTTTAGGTTTAGATATAGAAGTATTTCTGATCTAGCCAGGACCTTCATTAGGGCCTTTGGTTGATTAACCAAAATATTTGTAATTACCTTTGGAAAATGTTTTAAGAACGATGAATGTATCAATGCTGATATTATTTTGTTAATTTTATCCTTGTACTATTTAGTATATTTTTTATTCCTCTTTCGTTGACTACGTTTTCTCTCAGTGTAATGGCACACACACGCATACAGTGCCATAATGAAATGCGAAAAAATGATGATGATATTTTTGGACCATAAAATGCAGATGAGCCGACTAAGCAGAAAATAGTGTGGCAGCCGGAGAAAAGGGGACATTCTCCGCAGGATGGGAAACGGAGGAGGGAGAGGGAGTGCTAAGTAGGCCTCTCTCCCCCTCCCTCTCCCTTTCGAAAGCACTTTCCCTTCGGCTTTTTTACACATGTCGCAGCGACAGGCTCTGCTCTCTCTCCTCACAACTTTCAGCTGGAGTTAATTTCTTCGCTTTTTAAGCGCTCTCCTCACCATGAATATGAAATGTGTATTTGTGTTAGTTATATTTTTGGGGCCGCTTTGTAGGGGTGGTGCTGTCCTCCCCCGACTGGCATACATATGTCATGTAAAAAAGTTCGCTCTTAATGTGCAAAATTGTTGGCGGACTAGGGCCATAAAAGTGCATGGGAATAAGTGAAATGGATTTTTGGGCTACGTTGTCCTGTCCCACATATAAGTGCGCCATAAAAAAAGGGAGGAATTTTGCAGAACGGTCCAGGGCAGCAGATATAGTTTGAACTTGGCTAGGATTTATGACTGTTTGTTCGGAACAAAAGAAATGCGGAACGGGATTCAGCATCCTTATTCCTCGCTCTCTCTCCCTCTCTCTGGAGTGCGTGTGTGCCGCTGCTGCTCCTGCAAAAAAGAAGTCCCTGCCCCGAAATCGTTGAGTTGGGTAAATCCTTTAATGTCGAGTTGAGGTGCGTACACGAACAGGTCGTATAAGTATAAGCCATAAGTGGATTATATACATAGATTGGGTTCGGCGTTGGCCTGGCTTAGACCGAGTTATTTTATCAACTTGAAGCGAATAGTTATGGGCTAAATAATAGTCCTTCGGAGGTCCTTTTGTATTTATAAAGTATTCATATGGCGAAATTTATTCAGTTTGTTTTTGGAAATGACTTTGGTGATGAAGGAAACTTTAAAAGGGGTTACAAAATGCAGTTGAACCGGAAGTATCATTCCCTATTAGCACTCAGGAATTAATCAAGCTTCTTTTCGAGGAAATAAATAAGGTTATTAAAATTAATAAATAAAGCTTTTTAGGAAGAAAATGAATAAGGTAATAAATAAGTAATTAACTCATGAAGTCTCTTTTTTTAAATAAACGTTTGATTATGTGTGGGAATTCCGCGAAACCCCAACTTCAACTCTGTTAATTAGTTTTCTGTCTTGACCACAAGCCGCCATGACTCTTAATCTTTTTTAAAATGAAGCATATATGAATGCGGGCAGTTTTTAATAATTATTAATAATTTCCCTGTGGCATTTTCCACGCCCACACTCCATTAAGTTTTCCCCACATAAATTGCAGGAAATCGCTTGTGAATTCAATTTAAAAGCAAACCGTATTGTTTCGTTCATATATATATGATATGTCCTGCAAATACTTCTAGGTAAATTAGATG